TTGAAATATTAATCCAGGATGGGTTTGGAGAGCTTTTCTAGGCTAGCTAATGTTTTTGGTATGCAATTTTCTTGCATTCATGATACATTCATACTGGCAATTTTGCAGAATACTATTATATCAAACTTGGCATATTGAAATAGCTAGTTGATACTGGAAGAGTGATTATTACTACTAATTACTTATTACTTATTACTCTTAATAATCTTGCATATTTTTATAATAAATGATAAACCTTGCTTTTTTATTATTTTAATTCTGGACATCTTAAATATGAGACATTTAAGATACTCATAAATTTAATACATTCTTAAATTTAAGAGAGTATTGGCAGACAGAAATTCTGGATAGCTGAGATTAATGAGAAGCTTTACCAACATTGGAGATCATTCCAAATGTTTTGTGGCATCCTGTAGAACTTTGAGCTTTTGTGGTTTCTCTTCATGTGCTAGACTTTAACCCATCTTCAACCTCTCTGAATAAGGACTAATAAAATCTTATTCATGGAAATTCATTCATTTGTGAGCTTGGAAAGGAAAACTTGGGAGTTTTACTCCCTCTCTTGCTCTTTATGCTCTTTAATTCAGTCTTCTTAAACAGAACTGAACTATATGAAATCCTCCAGTGATGTATTTTACTCATTTGTCTCATGACATACTTTGTATTTCAGGACCCCAAACGTCACTTAGAAGAGCATGTGGATGTGCTGATGACCTCAAACATTGTCCAGTGTTTAGCTGCTATGTTGGATACAGTTGTATTTAAATAACCAATTTGCTGTTTATGGTTTTTTCTGTGTATATTTGTTTATTGTTTCAAATACAAACCAGAGACTGTTGAGGCAATGAATAAGTGGAGACATCTGACTTCATTTGCAGTGTAAGTGCAGCACAAAAACACCTTCAGTCTCTAATTGTGCCGTTGCTTCAGTTTCTTTATGTCAGGGTCTTCACAGATTCCAAAGCAATTCAAGAACACGTGGGCAAAATGTATTACATTTTCATTTAATATGGGGCAAGGGGAGGGGGAAATCAGCAGTACATATATATTTTGATTGTTGCAACATAATAAAAATACATTTACAAACCTGTCTTAAGTGCTGGAAGCTCTTTTGTGAAAGTTGGGGGAAATTAACAGTGTAGAAAAGGCAGTGCAGGTGAAATCTGACTTTTTTACTCACTATAGAACTATTGAGATATTAATTATTAGGATACCAAAAAAAATGCCTCCCATTGATTACTAAGTACTTACATACACACAAGTAATAGCACATTAGAGGAGATCAGAGGACATTAAAAAAGCTAATTACTAAAAATTGCTGTATCAGCTCCCTATCAGTATAATTCAAGCCATAGTGACTGCAAAAGACAGTTGCCTTTAAGAAATGGAATTCAGCTGTGCTGATAGCAAAATTGCCCAATGCTCTCACAAGAAGAGTCATAAATAGCAGTATTTCAAGAATAATCATTAAAATAGCAGAGGCTAAGCTAGATTTTTTGGTCCTCTGAAAGTATGCCTGACAGGAGGGAATGACAGTGTATGAGCTGTCCATGCATATAAATAAATATATTTATTAAATATATACGAGTCCCAAGTAGAATATGACATTTCAAGTCCTTTCCACTGACAAGAAGGGGAAACATGGGGAGGTAGGTGGGTTGGTTGTTGGATTTTAGGCAGACAAAAAGCCAAGTAACAGAAAAATAAACAAAAAGAAATCATTCTCCCAAATCTTTACATATTGGATGGTAGTTGGGCTGCTTTGTTTCTTTAGTCTGAGCAAGCGTGTTCTCTTTCAGTTCATAGACTATGTTTTGTTCAACTAACAGAAAAAAAAAGCTCTAATAAAGGCAGCTGAATATTTGGAAATAACTACTTACATCTTCTTTTGTTTATTTAAAAATCGTCTTTATTTTACTCATTTGTGTAAAATAGTGGAAAATAGTCCATAAAAAAAAAAAAAAAAAAGAAAAGAAAAGTCTTTTGATACTTTGATACTTTGATACTTTGTATCTGGTCATTTTCTACTTATTGTTCAAGCATTTTTTTTTATTTAAAATCTCACATCTATGCAGTTTTACTGTTTTCAGATAACTGCCCACCTGAGGTATGTTATATATCTCGGGGTATATTTAGCATTTACTTCAGAAGGAAACGAGTGCAGATTTTTTTCAGGACCCCCTTGGTGGCAATGGGCTGTGCCACGGGGAGGCCCGAGCCACATGTGCTTGAAGAGCTGCCTGCGGTCACTGGAGGCGCTTCCCAGCCCCGTGTTCTCGGTGAGCAGGGAGTGCTCGGGCCTCGGAGCTGCCTCGAGAGCCGTTCACCTGCATCCCCAGGTCAGGTGGGGACACCCGAGGGACCGAATTGGGGTGGCGGCAGGGCCGCGGGGTCTGCACGTGCCCCACAGCGTCGGGGGGACATGGAGCTTGGCAGGCCTCAGGAGCTGTGGTGCTGCGGGAGCAGGGCCGCTGTCGTGAGGCTGGGCATGAAAGGCCGGTGCGAGACGGAGCTGAGGCCACACCACCAAGTCTCGCTTGTTTTAAATCAGTTTTGCAAATCTCCAGCTTGCAGGGAGTAATTGAAGGCGATCTGTGGGACAAGCAGGTCCACAGCACGAGCTGTGCTACTCTGCTCCGTCCAGGGCTCGCTCTGAATTTGAATGCATTTTCCTTTCACAAAGATGTGTGAAAACCCACAAGCCTAAGGCTTGGGGGCATCTTTCTTCCTTTTCGCCTGGTGTTTTAGGAGATGGAGCATTTGGAAGCATGCGTGCAGCCGGTACTCTGAAAAGCAGCAGCCCCTACAGCATCTTGGAGGAAGAAAGAGGCTTCCAAGCAGCCACCTTGTGAGGCTCCCGCTGCAGCAGTGCAGACCTTCATTAACAGCTTGACCCCTCGTCACCTGTCAGCGCGCAGGGCTGGCATATTGTATTAGCGAGGCTCCCTCCTTCATTCTGTGACAATTGTATAACACCACCTGCCATTGCAAACCCACCTATTATACCAGTTTAGGAGTTGTGCACACTGAAGATTTTTGGCATATCTTAGCGCTTTGCGTGATTGGCAGCGCACAGCGGAATTCATTGCAGCCCTGCATGGCTATGGGTTTTGCTGTGTAATTTAGGGCAGCATTTCCCGGTGTTTATCTCTGTTTTGACCCATCTCCTGCCCGTAGATCTAACCCCATTAGCTTTCAATCAGTTCCAAGCCGGGGAGTGCAAGGGTGGAAGTGCTAGTGGCAGGAGCAGTAGTTAATGCTGTTGTGGATCAAACTCTGCTTTGCAGCGAAAGGAGGTACGGGGGGCTGCGTGTGCAAAAGCCTGTGGATAAAGCACTAAACTTGTGTTTGCTCTTTGCTTCATTGAAGATTATTGAGGTGGTTTATTTGCAGAGAACCTGTACGTCAGGCTTACAAAGAACACTGAATAACCGCACTGTGTGTCTCCGCGAAGGGGCGCGGGTTGCGTGGAGGCTCTGCCGGCTTCTGTTAAGTAACAGAAGAAAGTCCTGGGTTGTGATGGGATTTGGGAGGGTGGAAAGAGGCGTTATGGGAGGCGAGCCGGCTTGTAGCCTTGTCCCCGATAGAGTTTGCCAAGTTTGAGCCTGGCTCCAGCCAAGTTTAGTTTTGCCATGGGATGGCCCAGGCTGCGTTAGTTGCCGGCGGGATGTGGATCAGGCTGCAGGTGTTATCTGGAAGGAGGTGGGATCCACCAAGCACCTGAAGCCCAAACAGCCAAAGGGAAAAATAGTAGCGAGTGAAAACGAAGGAAGAGAGCTCTTCCCCAGGAACAAACCGGTGCTGGGAACCTCACAGGGTGCCTGTAGGAGAGGGAAAGCGAAGAGGCTAATGCAGGAGGCACGGGAGCAGCAGGGGGACATAAGAGAGGCGGGGGGGACAGGCAGCTCTTCGGCATATCCGCCCCCCGCGGAGGGTCCCGCCGTCAATTAGCCCCGAGCCGGCAGGCGCCGAGGCCGCGGCTGCTCCGCGCGCCGGAGTGCGCGGGGCTGCGCGGAGCCTCTCTGCGCCCCTGAGGGCCCGCGGGGCAGCGCGTGTCCCCGAGGCGAGGCGGGCGCCGGGGGCGAATCCGCCGCAAACATCTCCCTGGCTGCGAGTGGGAAGGGACGCGGGGCCGGCGGGGGAGACGCAAACCCGCCATCCGCGCCGTTCGCCGATAATCTGCGGCATTACAGCGCCCAGATAAAATATTTATTTCCTAAAGAAGCCGTAAACATCACGGCAAACACATTAGGGCACTTCGGCGGCGCGGCTTATGATTATTTCAGAACTTGATGCGCTGCGGCGGCGGGGAGGCCACCGGGCCGCGCTTTAATGGGGACGGGAGCTGCGGGTCTCCCGCGAAGGGGCGCGGGGCTGCGCGGAGGCTCCGCGCCGCGGCCAGGCGGGCAGCGCGCCCCGCGGGGCTGCGCGGGAGCCTCCGCCGTGAAAAGGGGCTCGCACGCGGTGCTCAGGGAAGCGCGGCGCTGGGGGGTATTTCCACACATACATAAATAAATAAATAAATAGAAATTCTGGAAAGGTCACGTAATAACGAGCTCTTATAGCAAACACACAGTTCCCTTCCCCCCCCCCGCCCCGGCTTCCTCCTATCTCACAATAAAATCATCTACTTCAATTTGCCATGATCGTGGCGACCAGGAGCCAGGTGATTATCCTAATTAATGTCTATCTAATTAAATTACTGTCAGCGGTTAACCAATGGCAGGAGCCGTTTCATCCTCTCCACAAGCAGCAAGATCAAAAGTGAGTCTTTCCTGATTGCTGCATAGTGTCAATTGGCCAATCTCTTCTCCCAGGGAAGGAAAGAAAAAAAAAAAAAAAAAAAAAAAAAAAAAAAAAAAAGTAAATCAAACGTTTGGGAAGCATTTGGTGGATGAAGTGCTTTCCGCCTAGTGAGGGTCCCAGGATGTCTAGCGTCTGATACTGAGGAGCCCTTCCAGAACCAGGGACTGAAGGGTTATTCCTGTGGTGCTAGAGCTATGCAGCTGGAGCATTGTCTTTCTCCCTCTATCATGCTCTCCAAGAAATTTCTCAATGTGAGCAGCAGTTACCCACATGCAGGCGGATCCGAGCTTGCCTTGCATGATCATCCCATTATCTCGACCACTGACAACCTGGAGAGAAGTTCACCTTTGAAAAAAATTACCAGGGGGATGACGAATCAGTCAGATACAGACAATTTTCCTGACTCCAAGGACACACCAGGGGACGTCCAGAGAAATAAACTCTCTCCCGTCTTGGACGGGGTCTCTGAGCTTCGTCACAGTTTCGATGGATCTGCTGCAGATCGCTATCTGCTCTCTCAGTCCAGCCAGCCCCAGTCTGCTGCCTCTGCTCCTAGTACCATGTTCCCTTACCCCAGCCAGCATGGACCTGCTCACCCAGCCTTCTCCATCGCCAGCCCCAGCCGCTACATGGCTCACCATCCTGTGATCACCAACGGAGCTTACAACAGCCTCCTGTCCAACTCTTCTCCGCAAGGCTACCCCGCGGCGGGCTACCCGTACCCGCAGCAGTACGGCCATTCTTACCAAGGGGCGCCTTTCTACCAGTTCTCCTCCACGCAGCCGGGGCTCGTGCCCGGCAAGGCTCAGGTCTACCTGTGCAACAGGCCACTCTGGCTCAAATTCCACCGGCACCAGACCGAGATGATCATCACCAAGCAGGGGAGGTAAGCGCCGCTCCGCGCCGCGCCGCTCCGCGCCGGGGAGCGGGCCGAGCGGCCGCGGCGCCGCCGCCGCCCCGGGGGGAGCCGCAGCCGGGGCTGCCCCCGGAGGGTCCCCGCTCCCCGGCCCGGCCCCGCGCACAGCTCGGCCTTTCGGGGAGGGAGTTTTTTGATTTTTTTTTTTTTTTTTTCCGCGGTCGCTACTAGGCGCCCTGAGGATAAAGCACAACGGGTTGCTTCCTATGTGTGTATCGCTGGTGCTGGATTTTTCTTTTTTTTCTTTTTCTTTTTTTTTTTTTTCGTTTAATAGGCGCATGTTCCCTTTCCTAAGTTTTAATATTTCTGGTCTCGATCCCACGGCTCATTACAATATTTTTGTGGATGTAATTTTGGCGGATCCCAACCACTGGAGATTTCAGGGAGGCAAATGGGTTCCTTGCGGCAAGGCGGACACCAATGTACAAGGCAAGTTCCTCCAATTAACACTTTTCCCGACACATATGTAGGTGAGAATGATTAATTAAAGCCTTTGTGGAGTGGCTTAGGCGACTTCTTATACGACAATGATCCAATGATGCTATTTAAATAAATGGAGGGGTGGAGGAGAGAATAAAAGATATTCGGAAAACGCTGTTTTAATGCTGTTCGGCTAAAATGGAGGGAGTTTCAGCAGTAAAATGCTCCTAACTTTAACAGGATGCTTAAAGCCCATGCTCGGCTGCAGTGGCAGAGCCAGGCTACGCGGGTGAGCTGTGGTGTTTTTGTTGTTTTGCTTAGGAAATCGTGTGTACATGCACCCCGACTCCCCCAACACGGGTGCCCACTGGATGCGTCAGGAAATCTCCTTTGGGAAACTAAAACTTACAAACAATAAAGGAGCATCAAACAACAACGGGCAGGTCAGTGAGAGAGCTGCTTTGCAAGACGTATTTTTTGTTGCTTTAGAAAAAAAATCCCTTAGTCTTCGATGGACTCTGTATCGGATCGTGTTGTTAGGTGGAAAAAAAAGAAAAAAAAAAAGAAAAGAACAGTGGTGGGGGGATTAAGCCACAAGCCTGTCGCTTATGTTGCCGGGGGCCTTTCAGGCTGCGGGTGCCGGCCCAAGGTCTCCCGGTGCGCGGCGGGTCCCGCGGCTGCGGCTCGTTCCGCGCCGTAGCGCGCCCCGCACTCCCCGCTCTAATTCCCCCTTCTGTCCCCGGCGCCCGCCCTGCCTTCTCTTTGCCCGACAGATGGTGGTTTTGCAGTCCCTACACAAATACCAGCCCCGCTTGCATGTGGTGGAGGTGAACGAAGACGGGACGGAGGACACGAGCCAGCCGGGCAGAGTGCAGACCTTCACCTTCCCCGAGACGCAGTTCATCGCCGTCACCGCCTACCAGAACACCGATGTAAAGAGCAACCCGCTCCCCTCCGCTCCGAGCACCGCGTTTCCGCGCCCGCTCTTCCCATCCCCAGCCTCAAAGTTGCCGTTTCGCCTCCGCCGAGGCTCGCGACCCCCAAGTCCTCCTGCCGCGGTTCCTGCGCTCCCCCGAGCGGCCCCCGTTGGCTCCCGCCGGGCAGCCGGGCCCCCGGGCGCGGGGCTCCTTGCCGAGCTCGCCGCTTCCTTGCGCGGCCAAGCAGAAATTCTGGCGCTTTTGCTGCTAGAACTAGAACCCGCTATTTTTCCCCGGCTCGTATCTTTGCGTCGGGAAGAGCTCGGATCACTGCTACAGCTTAAGCACTAAATCTGCAAAAATTAATTAACATCCTCATTGACTGCACAGGGGGTGATGGAGCGACTCCCTCAAATGAAAATCTTGTTAATGCTTGGCTACGTTTTGTAGCGGTCTGTTTTGGCTGTGGACTCGTGCCCCCTTTATCTTTCAAATGACATATGCTCGGGCCACGTTTTTGCTTTAATTATATCCCTAGATGCAAATGCAAACTCTTAGTTACTGTTTTGCGGTACGTTCCCTCCTCGTGTCGGGATTTAAATGGATTCATGACCATGCAACGTGAATAATTATACTTCCGAAAATATGGGATTAAATATAATTTTTTTATTGTAATATTGGGGAGAATAAAGTAAATCTCACATTTCTCCTTTGATCTCCAAAAGCACGCTGGAGTTTTGCTTTCCGAATTACTAAGAGATGCAGTCTCATCCACTAGATGCATGTCTCATTAAAAAAAATGTACTCGGGTACCCTTTTCGTGTTCTCACAAGGTACTTTATGGCCCTCTGTCCCTCCAGATCACACAGCTGAAAATAGACCACAACCCCTTCGCCAAAGGCTTCCGCGACAACTACGACACGTGAGTAACGCCGAGGTTTATTCTCCTTCTGCGGCCGCGCACCTGTGTCAAAGCGCGGGGCAGCAAGGCGCGGATAGAGCGCGCTTGAAGCTGCGCTGACCCAAGTGCGGCTTTTTGGAGGGAAGGAGAGAGGTGGAAAGAAAAGGAAGGGAGCCCTGAACGCTCCTCCGACGGGCGGGTGCGCAGGGGCCTCGCAGAGCCGCGCCGGGTGCCGCTCTCCGCGGTGCTGGCGGCACTCGGCGCTCTCCGCGCTCGGCACACCGCGCAGCCTGCGCGCCTCGGCCCTCTCCCTTCTGCTTTGGCCCCTAGATAGCTGGGTTTTGTCCCTGGTTTCCTGGCTTTTGTCCTTGCGCCCGTTTGCGAGTTTCTGTCTGCCCTCTTGCGCGCTCGGGTCCCAGGATGCTCCCGCGCAACGCGGGCGCAGGGGCTACGCGCCCGCCACGTGTGAATAAGCTCAAACTCCGCAGGAAGAAAAATATCTAAATTTATGTATTTATGTATTTATTTATTTATTTATTTCCCCATCGGGATGGAGCTGAAAACTCCCCAGTTTTCATCGCGGTTGCCCCTGTGCGGCCTCTGCCAGTGCCTCCGGCTCCGCGAGCGTTTCAGCCCGCCAGGCCCGACAGCAGGGCCTGGACGCCCCGACAGCACGGGGGCGGCGTCGCCCAAGCGGCGGGCGCCGACGACCGCTGTTCGGCCTCGTAGCCGAGCGGCGGGGCTGCCCCTGCTCTCCTGACCCGCGGGTCCCATGGCTCGCTCGGCCCCCGACGGCTCCAGCTTCAGCCCTACGAGATAGGGCCGCCGTCGAGCGCGGAAAAGCCGCTTTCCCTCCGCGGACAGGCAGCGTGTGCAGAGGGCGTAAGCCCACGCGTAGCTTCAGCTTAAGCCCGCTTAAGCCCGCCTGCTCCCGTCGCAGTGCAGGGTGGAAGCGACGCCACGGTCCGAAGCGGGGCGAGCGGGACCGGGCCCCAGCGGCGGGTCCCAACGGCGAGTGCCTCTGTCCCGGGTGCTGCGGCGCGAGCGGCCGCCGCCGCTCCCCGAGCGGGATGCGCCGCCTCTGAACAGGCTTCATGGCCTTCGCCCCCATGTCCAAGCTTTTATTTTTCTCCTATTTTTTTTTTTTTAATTAGGAAAAACTTTATAGAGAGTCACTTTTAAGGAGACGGGGGGAGGGGGAGTCTTCAATGTTGTCTAGCACGTTGGATTTGTTTAAGGGCCAAGTTTATTTTGGATAAGAAATTCCAGGAGGCGTGGAGGGTTAATTAAAGCGCAGTTTTAGCCTGAATTATGTACAGATAGTAGTTATTCATGCATTAAAGTTTTTATAATCGCAAATTGCAACCCAGCATGGGAGATTTATATATAGGCCATGCAGGGAACACTAGTTGTGTCTGGTTTTACATTTCCTACAGTAGGTGTTTAAAGATTAGCTTAATTTAAACCCCGTAAAATGTTGATGGTGTGCCTGTGACTCTCAATAATAAGTGTTAAACAGCCGATGGGGATCCGCGGGCTGCCATTCACGCTGTTCCCTACAAGCGGCCGCGTTGCCTGTTGCGTTTCTGCGAGTTCTGGTCAATGTGTCACAAACGAGATTTCCGAGGCTCTTGAAAAGTCATCAGAATGCGGAGTTCAAACGGGAGCTCAAAACCTTCTTGTGTTGAGCGAGAACCTGTGTGTCGCAGGTCTTACGAGCTGTATTTGGTGCAACTTCTCCCTCGGAGTCGCCGTCGGGGCCCTCAGCGCTCCGAGAGGCAGCGCCCAGGCCGCTGCGCGGGGCTCCCTTTGGGGCCAGCCCTCAGAAGTGGCGGGTTTGGGGTGCGGATCGACGTGCGGGCGCGGCCGAGGCGAGGGGCCGCGGGGCGCTAGGCCTGTCGCCGACCTCTGTGCCCTTGTCTTCGGCAGGATCTACACGGGCTGCGACATGGACCGGCTGACGCCGTCCCCCAACGACTCGCCGCGCTCGCAGATCGTGCCCGGGGCCCGCTACGCCATGGCCGGCTCCTTCCTGCAGGACCAGTTCGTGAGTAACTACGCCAAGTCCCGCTTCCACCCCGGCGCAGGAGCCGGCCCGGGGCCCGGCGCCGACCGCAGCGTGCCCCACACCAACGGGCTGCTCTCCCCACAGCAAGCCGAGGAACCGGGGGCGCCCTCCCCGCAGCGCTGGTTCGTCACCCCCGCCAACAACCGCCTCGACTTCGCCGCCTCGGCCTATGACACGGCCACCGACTTCGCGGGCAACGCGGCCACGCTGCTCTCCTACGCGGCGGCCGGCGTGAAGGCGCTGCCGCTGCAGGCGGCCGGCTGCGCGGGCCGCCCGCTGGGCTACTACGCCGACCCGTCGGGCTGGGGGGCGCGCAGCCCCCCGCAGTACTGCAGCAAGTCGGGCTCCGTGCTCTCGTGCTGGCCCAACAGCGCGGCGGCGGCGCGCGTGGCCGCCGGCAACCCCTACCTGGGCGAGGAGGCGGAGAGCCTGGCCCCCGAGCGCTCCCCCCTGCCCGGCGCCGAGGACTCCAAGCCCAAGGATTTGTCCGACTCCAGCTGGATCGAGACGCCCTCCTCCATTAAGTCCATCGACTCCACCGATTCTGGGATTTACGAGCAGGCCAAAAGGAGGCGGATCTCGCCCTCGGACACGCCGGTGTCCGAGAGCTCGTCGCCCCTCAAGAGCGAGGTGCTCGCCCAGCGGGACTGCGAAAAGACCTGCGCCAAGGACATCGGCTACTACGGCTTCTACTCGCACAGCTAGGCGCGGCCCCCGCCGGCCCCGCCGCCTTTTGCACAGCGACCTCCGCGCTCAGCGCGCCGGCCCCCGCCCCGAGCCGCCCCCTCGCACCGCCCGCGGCCCCGGGCGGGAGGCCGAGCCGGAGCCGCCACCGCCGCCCTGCCCGCTCCGCTCCGCGCCGCGCGGTGCTCCGGGCCGCGCGTGGCAGCAGCTCCGCCGCGGCCGCTCCCTCCACTCATATAAGTAGGACGCGTTAGACTCTCGCCAATCGTGCAGCGCTTCCTTCCTTTTTTTTCCACGGATGGATAATAAGGGATACTAGAAATAGTGGGGAAAAAAAAGAGCCTGTGAAATGCCTGTACATAGTACTCAATTTATTGTAGCCACTTTCTTTCTTTTTTCTTTCTTATTTGTTTATTTTTGTTTTCATTGTGAAGTCACAAAGCTTAACTCTGGTTTAAGTTTCTTTATTGCTCCTCTTTTTTTTTTTTTTTTTTTTTTTTTTGGCTTCCTCAGCCCCCCTCCCCTACTCACCAGGTAAACACGCTTTCTGGTAAACGCCCCTGGAAATGCAGAACGGGCCATCGCTCTAGCAGCGGGTAATGGGTTTCTCACTTTCTCTGCAATCCCTCGCATGAAATAATTACGCCGTGCCCTGGGCCAACACAGTTAAGAAATAGCTGAGCTTTCCCTTCAAAAGAACAGAACTAACTCTTGTAGGAAAGTCGATTAAAGTAGCATGACGCCTTCCAAAAGCCAAATTATCTGCCTCTGTATTTGTCTTTAAAAGGAATAGCTCGACATCAGCAATATTATTATTTTTGTGGTATTCCTGTCAGCCCCCCCCCCCCCCCCCCCCAAGTGTCAAATCCATTACTGGTCCCTGCAGGTGCCAAATACGCTGACAAACTCTTCAAATTTCTTTGCAGTTTTCCCCTCTTTCTTTATATTACTGTAAATCTTTGTAATGAATAATCTAAAAAAAAAAAAAGAAAAAAAAAAGAAAAAAAAAAGCTATAGACGACTGAATTGTTGGTAACCATAGTGTAGTCCAGTGAAGATGAATTGTGAGTTGTATATTTTACTGCATTTAGTTTTGGAATTGACTTTTTCATAAAGTAGCTAACCAAGATCTGACTTCCTGGGGAATCAGCTGCGCATCGGAAGTAAGAGCGATGTTTCCTGCAAACCTCTTATTCTATTAATGAAGGGGAACTAATATCCCTCCAGGTACCCCCCGGCGAAGCAGAATAGTAAGTCTTCGGATTTTGAGTAGCAAATCTATATAATTAACGCATTTTTTTATATGAAAGAAACAATTGCAAACTGAAATATGCATCAGGCTAAATATTCAGTCTAGATTACAGTCGACGGGGAAATTTCCTAATAGAAATTCAGGGTCATAAACGTGTGTATATTTTTGACTCTTATGTAAATCGAATGTTGTGATTTTTATATTTGTTCTGTTACGTCCGTGGAACTGAATAATTTATACCAGTACATGCTCCATTGAGAAATGTTTCGGTTTTGGCCCGTTTGTATCGTCTGTGTATAACAAGTAAAATAAACCTGGCAAAACGCTCACGTCGTGTTTGCGAGCGCTTCCGCGGGCTCCCGCCCCGCCGCCCTCGGGGCTCCTCGGGGGGACCCCGCTGCTCCCCCGGTGCCGGAGCTGCGGCTCCGGGGCCGCATCCCTTCCCCGGTGCGAGTTTGTTGCTCTTTTTGGTGGGAGGGCGACGGGCAGGGGCTGCGCTCGGCCGAGGAGGGACACGGGCGCCTTGTCGGGCCTGAGCGGCCTTAGCGAGCCAGGTCTTCACGTTCCCGGGCGCGCGGGGTGTCGCAGGCTGGAGCGGGGCGCGGAGCGGGCGGCTGGGGGCTCGCCTCGCGCCTCCAAGCGCGGACGGGTGTCCGGCAGGAGCGGCGTGTTGCGCAGCGCCCTGGCTGCTCCGCCGGGCAGCGCGCGCCGGCAGCTCCGCCGCATCGACGGCCCCTGCAGCAGCGGCGGCGCGGGGGCCCGGCCCCCAATGCAGCTCGTGCCCCGTCCCCGGGCAGCGGCCGCCGCGGAGAAGCGCGGCTCCCACCGCCGAGATGTGGGACGCGAGTGGCCTCCCCTCGGAGCGGCCGCTGCGGGGCGGGGGTGTCCCGCAGACCCGCTGTGTCGGCGCCCTTCCCGCTCCGCGGCTGCGAGGCGGCGCGAGGGGAGAGGCCGCTCGCGCTCGGCCCTTCAGCGACCGTTGGTGAAGGCGGGAAACCCGGGCAGGAGCCGCCGGCGCGAGCGCAGCCGCCGCCCCAACGGCTTCGTGCCCTCCGGCGCCAGGGGTTTGGCCGGGTCTTTGCTCGGTGAGTTTTGGCTAGGGGTAACGGCCCGTAGCGGCCGGACACGGCCCTTCCTGCCCTAACGCTCTCCCCAACTCTTCCGACAGGGAAAATTCCGCCACTCCCGGTGCGAGAGGCGACCGGCGCACGCTCCTTCTCGTCGGTAGGTCCGTTTATCGCCAGGGTGCAGGTGTGCGTGGCGTTTCTGGCACGTTAAAACGCTCACGTCCGTCGGCACTCGAGCACGCGGGTTTGGGGCTGCGGCGGRTGAAGGGCGACGTGCCCCGTTCTGCCGGAGCCCACCCCCGCGCGGCGGCCCGTTAGCCCCTCGTGGGTTTATGCTCGTATTCTAAGCACGTTGGGAGGCTTTTTAATTTAATTATTCTGCAAAATAACCCATGCTATTGCCCTCCCTTCGCTTTACCGAAAAACACAAAATCGAGCTCCAAAAGAGGCGATTCGCAGAAAGTAATTCAAAGTTCTGCATTTTCTGCGCTGCCTCACGTTAATACTATATCAAATATAGTAATACAGCGATTTGCACTCTGCGGATTTTGCACGGGTATGCTATGCATATTTGATGACACATTGCATATTTTAACAAGGTTTTTAATGACTGATTGAAATGTTTGCTAAGATATTTTTTAAGAGCTGGAGGAGAAGTGGTTGTGGAAAGCGGGTGCAATGGAATAGTGATAAGGATAAGGCTGCTGATTGACAGCACGGGGAAGCAGATGGATGACTAGGTAGGTCAGAGGTAAAGATGCCTTTGACAGCTTTTTAAGTTCCTTTGGCCATTTTGGTCCAATGAATCATGCAAAACATGTGTACACTCCCAAGCTGATGTCTCTGCATCGTTTACGGTTGGAATCCTCATCTTTTCAAACCCACCCTAACCTTCTTTCATCACCACTTGACGTGCTATGTCTAAACTAGATTGCAAGATCCTAAGAAGGCAAGAATCTGTCTTGTATTACTTATCAGCAAAAAGGAAGGGAAAAAAAAAAAAGTAAACCTATGGAGCTAGAAGAACAACCGCGACAGATTGGCGGAATAGGCGTAAGGTGGGACACATTCTTCTTAATTTTCGCTGTTTGGTCATCACTCCTCTCCCCTAGGTAATGCTCAAGGAAGCCATGGGGAACAATAATGCCCCCCCACCTTTAAAATCCTCCCCCCACCGCCAAACTGGCATCAAGCGGAATCTTCCTAAGTCTGATAAGGGACCTAATTGCATAATTTTCCTTGTAACATTATGCAGTGCTGTTGCTATAGTTAAAATGGTTTTCTTTGCAGCCTGCATTTTCAGGTGTTTTGCATGTTCTCCCCCCCGAATTACTTCATGAAACTAACATTCTCTGGGTTATCTCTGTAAAGGGATGCTGGTTTTAGAGACCTTTTTATGTATGTACGTATTTATTTAATAATGTAGAGGTCAATTTTTAAATTTCAGTGACAGGAGAAAAAAAAAAGATGCCTGTGTATTTGGAACAGTAAGATAACAGACTTTGCCATAAAGTATGAAAGTATGTTTTTCAGGTGCTATTTCTGTGCTGAATTTTAAATTTTAAATATTAAAACTTGTCATAAATGTGGACTCCAGTGGGGAATGCGTGAGATATAGAGGGAAAATTAAAGAAAAGGAAAAAAAAAAGGCAGAGTGATAAATAGATGGAAGGCATCAGACTCTTCACATTCAGTACCCTGTTCTTTTCAGCTAAATAGATGTACTATGTTCACAGTAAATCGAGAGAGCTACACAGCTTAATGATAACACTTCGTGCATTTATCGGAATGCTTACTGATTTGGGAATAAACATACAGAAAAAAACACTACTTAATTCAGACCATGATCATTTTACGTATTTCAACTTGCTGAAATACCTGTGTCTCTCTTGAATTTTTGAGCACAGATTACATTTTACCCCCTGAAGAAGTAGGACAGTTAATTTATCCATAAAGTGCAAGAGTGCTGTTCCTAATCGGACAGAGCTTTGGCCTTGAAGTACGTTAAACAATAAAAGCTGTGGTATTTTATTCATGATATCATTTTAATTTCTCGTAGTTGTTATGTTTCTAATACTAAAGGGCTGATATGAGTACAAATGATCTTGCTGATTTTAAGCCTTTTTTTTTTTGGTCAGCTGTAAGTAGATCATATTTTAAATAAAAAAAATGATGGCAAAATGGATGAACACTTTAGGTGCATTACTTCTGTGTAGAAGTGCAGTATTACACTTACATTAAGAAGCAATTATTTTTAAGCTTTAAACAAGAAACAGCTGGTAATGACTTTGAATCTGTTTTAAGAGACATTTTAGGTAAAATGTTGATAGCTTGTAAATGTGTATTCCTACCTTAGTCTCTGATCGTGCGTGCAAGTTCATATGTGTGAACAACGTTAAGGAGGAGGTCAGTCCTACAAAGACTATTCACTTGTCTAAAAATTCACAGACATTTATGTTTTTAGGATCAAGGCCTTTTTCAATAATTGTGATAGTCATGTACCTTGAAGTGACTGACTGATTTAGAATACACTTAATAATTTGATTTTAATATAGCAAAACACTGCGTTTATGAGTTACCAAAGTGCACTGTACAAGCTGCTACTTCTGCCAATTGTAATCTTCTTTTTAGCTTATGAAGTAATTTATGTTCTTTTTTAGTTTTTTGTTTTTGTTTTTGTTTTAGTGACAGCATTGAAACAT